CCTGCTGCCAGAGACATTGCAGACCAGGTGCCCTGCTAGTGATTCACTACCAGAAAAAATAAATGCACGAGGCAGCAGAGCGATAAGGAACTGACTACATGGTGGCCTTTTCTCATTTTCAAATCGCTTGCTTTGGGGAACACAACAGTAATTCATTTTGCTTTTCTAATCGTTCTACTGTAGTCTTCTCCAAGATGGTTCAGAATTCAGGGAAAGCCTAGACAGGGGTTTCCACTTGACTGATTATGGTTTAAGTGGGTACCGAGTGCAACTCATAGGATTAGATGCTTTCTTCAAACAAGCTCAGAAGCTGGACGACAGAATCCAATGGAGCCCCAAATTTCAATTGCTAAGCGAGATAGTTGTTAAGTGAGTTTTGCCCATTTTATGCCTTTTCTTACCACAGTTGTGTAGTCAAACATTGCAGTTGTTAAAGTTATTAAAACCCGGTTGTTAAGTGAATCCGGCTTCCCCTTTGACTTTGCTTGTCAGAAGTTTGCAAAAGGGGATCCATGACCCTGGGACACTGCAACTGTCATAAATACAAGTCAGTTGCCAAGCATCTAAATGAGAGGTCTCCAAACTTGGCCACTTTAAGACTAGTGGACCTCAACTCCTATGCAGGCTGGAGAATTCTGGGAGTTGAAATCCACAAGTCTTAAAGTGGCCAAGTTTGGGGACCCCTAATCTAAATGTTGATCATGTGACCATGGGGGTCCTGTGGAAAAACGATCATAAGACACTTTTTTCACTGATGATATAACTTAGAATAGTCATTAAATAAATAGTTGTGAAGTTGAGGAGTAGCTTTATGTAAAAGTAAGATCAGGGTTTATTCTGCCTAGTTGTGAATACTCTTTAATATCTTAATCCACTTTCAATTACTTTAATCGTGGATTGATGCTAAGTTGTTTTTTTAATGGGCTTCTTTTAATCATAGCTTGTGTTACATAAAGCCACAAGCCCAGACTTGTTTCTGGTTTTGTTTTATTTTGTCCTTACATGCTTTCCAATTTTTTTGAGATGCTTGAGGAAAAAGGATGAGAATCCATCAAGTAAGATTTCCAAAACAGGGCATTGTTATTTTGCTTTCATCTTTCTCAGCAACCTATCCTAAAATTAATCCAGGTTTAGTGTTAGAATTTGTAAATGCAATTGTTCAGGTTGTTGGAGGCAAATATGCGGTGCAGATAAGCAAGCAAAAATATAGAGATGACAAGCAAGCAGTGAGATAGCAAGTTTCACTTTATAATCCTTTCTTTAACCACTGTGGGGGGTTTGTAACTATTTGCAAAGGGTCAGTGCAAATTAATACAGAATCATGCTGGCTGTCTATATGATTTGGTTTAAATCATTCTTGGAAGTCTGTTCTTATGCTAGGAAAAAACAAGGGCCAGAAAATGCATAACATAGATATGCATCAAAGCCACCAAACCATTAGACACTCATTTCCAAAAACCACAGAATAGATGTGTTGAATCTTCTCCCAGCCAGCTCAAAAGAAGCACAAACTGCTTTCTGTTTACAGAATGTAAAATAACAGAGCTGGAAGTGATATTGGAGGTCTTTTAGTCCAACCACCTGCTCAAGCAAGATAACACATATCATTTTCGACAAAAGGTTGTCCAGTCCCTTCTTAAAACCCTCCAGTGTTGGAGCACCCACAACTTCTGAAGGCAAGTTGTTCCACTGGTTGATTGTTCTTAGGAAATTTCTCCTTCCTTCTCGGTTGCTTCTCTCTTTGTTCAGTTTCGATCCATTACTTCTTGTCTTGCTGCTTTGTTTAGTCCATTTTGACAGTGACAAGGGCAGCTAATGACAAAATTCTTATCAACCTGCCCATAATGCTTCCCCAATGGATTTTGACTTGCCAAGTCCAGTCAGATACAACTGAAGTCCTGCAGATGTTTACTACCTTGGGTAGTAAACATCTTGGGAAGAAGTAATCCAGGAGGGAGAAGCTTAAAACATTTTCACCTGTTGTATTTTGGCTTTGTATTTTGGATGAGTGTTGGCGAGCAAACGTCTTAATAGCAAAACCACCTCTGTGTGTTGAAGAGGAGGCCTTGATGTAACCACCGTCAAGTACCCAGTTACATGGTAGCTTCACTTCTGCCTTAAAAATGTGATAGGATGTTGAAGATTGTAGTGATCCTTCGATATCTTGTGCAAGAATGCCAACCTTTCACAAGATTTCACTGAAATTGTGAAAGATGTTGGTAGTCTTATGTGCAATTTTGGAAGGTTGGGCAGCAGTTCCTAAGGTCTCAGAAGACCTTGAGGAAACGTTAAGATGCTTTATTGATCTTTTGAGAAGAGAGTTGGAGCTGAAAGGCACAGTTGATGAGATGGAGAGGGCTTCTGGAGGATCTGGAAGCCTCCGTTTAGGAAAACTTTGTGATACTTAAACCCTCCCAAGTTCAGAGGTTCAGTGATGGGAATAAGAAAGCTGGATCTACTGTGTGGGTCACATACATTTTATTTCTTGTGAGTTAGATTTCTGGGAAAGCATTGAGTAAAAGTAAAGGTTTCTCTGTCGAGTTGTGTCCAACTCTAGGGCATGGGGCCTCATCTCCATTTCTTGGCCAAGGGAGCCAGCATTGTCCAAAGATATTTTATGCCAAAGGTACACAGAACAGTGTTAACTTCCCACTAGAATGGTACCTATTAATGTACTTTCACTTGCATGCTTTCATACTGCTAAGTGGACAGAGACAGAGAACGAGAGCTCAACCGTTGGGCTGCACTCGGGTCTCGAACCTGAGCTGTCAGCCCTTCAGCCAACAAGTTCAGCGTCTTTAACCACTTGGTCATCATTCCCTCTGGGAAAGCATTGAAGAAAGATGGTGATAGCTGTTTCTTGCTCCTAAGTTTTATGCCAAATACTTATTTGGGCACAACATGAATTTAGCCTTGAATGACAAGTGGGAGGAAAAGCAACCCCCAAGCCTCAATTCAGTGGCTGCTGGTTTTGTGGACTGTCGGTTTTCTGTAATTCCAAAGGGTCAGCAGAGCTTTCCTGCATTACACCTGCCTTCTCCAAGTCAATGTCTGAAAATATTCTGAGATTCCAAGTCTCAGAATTTTCTTTTCATCCCCAAGGTGGTACATAAAGACAAGTTGAGGGCTGTTCTGACCAAGGCTTCCTGAGACCATAATTAAGCACACGCTTAGTCCAAACATCTGTTCTTTTATTTCAACGCTGGGAATTACGTTCATTCCCAGTCCGTAATGAGTCAAAAACAGTCCCTCGAGATAAGCACCCACCTTTATCTCCTTTGAATTGTTGCCAACAACTAAAGTGCCAAATTAGCTGTAAAAAGCCAACTGAAGTACAAAGTCCACACAGAGCTTCAAGGTTTAATCCGAACAGAGCGAACAACTTTATAGGATGTCTCTTCTCAGATTTTCAGCATCCTAATAAATTTATCTTTGCTCTTCTTTAAGACTTAGTGGCTTACACAAACTTTGGGATTCTTTGAGGTGTTCACTGTGCATTCTGTTCAGCAAGTGTTGGATTCTAGAACCCCCATCTTCCCTTTCTCTCTCTTACTCTTCTTTTATTGCTGTTGGCAAATTGTTTCTCTGACTGATGATGCAGTGTTTTTGACGGTGTCTTGTTATTTCAGTGGGAAGAGGTTGAGAGAGATTGCTAAGTGCAGACTATAAATACAGGAATAAATATGTAAATAAAGACACAAATGTGTTTGTTTGTTTGTTGAAAGTCCTGGACTTCAAGACTTTCTAGTTAAACACCTTGGGTAATAAATATGCACAGCCCCTTTTGAGTTGAATACATGCTTGGCATTTAATGGCCTGTGGAAGTCTACTTCTCCACAAGGGGGTGAGGCTAGGGAAACCATATAATTCTGTTTCAATTGTAATTCAGTGTTTTTAATTTAAATTAGTTAAGTAGAGCTCCTGCCGTTATTCTTAATGTGTTTAACTGTCCACTTTCTGTCGCATAAGCAATTGAACTTCGGTAGAGACTAGATGCCTCATTGGGTCATCATTTCAGAGATGAACCTAAACAGAATGACCAAGGATTGGCAAAAAAAAAAAGCAATGGAAGCAGCAGTGACTTCTGACTTCCTGCTGGTTTCCCCATTGAGGTTCCTTGTGGGAATCAGGCAAGAAGCATCACAAATCTCCCTTCCCTCCTCTCTCCTTCCTCTGGGTAAGTGGCTGCTGCTGGATAAGGGAGGAAGAGAAGGGATTGCAAAAGTGGCTGGGAAACTGTCATGGAACTTTGAAAGTGAAGATCATGTGACTTCACTGAAGCAGCCACAGCTTCCCCAAATTTCATTCCCTCGGGTGTCCTGGGTCCTGGATTTTGGACACATTCCATAAGTTAGCCCATTTGATATATTCTAGTTCAAAAAGTGTTTCCATGATACGCTATTTTGTCCAGTTAAGGGTTATAACAATGAGGATTTTAGTAGTACAGTGTACAGATAATACATGTTAGTTTGTTTAGTGACCATTTAGTGACTGAAAAAGTGTTGTTTTAACTTTGAATGGTCACTAAACAAACTAGCGTGACTTATGACCGTTGTTCACAGATACAGCCTTTCCAGCATCCCCATGGGCACATGATTTACTCTACGTCAGGATGCTTGACAAGTGACTTACATTTATGACAGTTGCAGCATCCTGGGGTCATGTGATCCCCTTTTGCGACCTTTTGACAAGCAAAGTCAATAACAAAGCCAGATTCACTTAACAACCATGCTGCTAATTTAACAACGGCAGTGATTTACTTAACAAATGTGCCAAGAAAAGTCATAAAATGGGACAAAACTTAACAATAGCCTTACTTAGCAACAGAAGTGTTGGGCTCGATTATGGTCCTAGAAAAGAACTACCTGCATATTCTGGAAGATTCTGGAAGAGCCCAGAGGTAGAAAAACCGTATGGTCAGGACTAAGGGAGTATCTTTCTCTTTTTTTCAATCATTTTTGTTATTCTTATTTTCTTATTCTTATTTTCTTATTCCTCAGGCTTGGCGGAAACGCTGGTTCGTGTTACGTCAAGGCCGGATGAGCGGCAACCCCGACGTGCTGGAATATTATCGGAACAGTCATTCCAAGAAGCCAATCCGGGTGATCGATCTGAACGAGTGTGAAGTGGTGAAGCACTCGGGCTCCAACCTGATCAAGAAGGAGTTCCAGAATAACTTTGTCTTTGTTGTGAAAACAACCTACCGCACCTTCTACCTGGTGGCCAAATCGGAAGAGGAAATGCACGTGTGGATCCACCACATAACCCAGATCTGTAACTTCGGACACTTGGAAGACGGGACAGGTAGGTGGGGCGAGAAAGCTCAAATCTCCTGGAAGCGGTTCATGGATTGAGGTCAGAAGTGGCATTCAGCAGGTTCTGGAGAACTGGTAGCGGAAATTTTGAGTAGTTTGGAGAACCGGCCAATCCCACCTCTGACTGGCCCCACCCCCATCTATTCTCTGCCTCCCATTGAGTCCCAGCTGATTGGCTGGGTCTTCTTTGGTTGCCCTGCACAGGAGAAGGGAGCTGGAAAGCTGGTTAGTGGGATGGGGAGG